GTCCTTAGGGTCAATTTCAACTTGCCAGTAGCCACTTTTTAGATCCAGCGTGCTAAACCACTTTACTCCTGTAAGCATGTCCAGCGTGTCATCAATTCTTGGCAAGGGATAGCTGTCCTTCTTCCGTAACGTCGTTCAGACGGCGGTAGTCAACACAAAACCGCATGCTGCCATCCTTCTTCTTCACCAGCACCTCTGGTGAACACCATGGACTAGAGGAAGGTTCAATAACACCATCCTTCACCATTCCTTCAATCATGGTTTCCACTTCCTTTTCACGTGCTACCGGCAATTTTCTTGGCCGCTGACGGATAGGCAATTCTTCTCCTGTGTTTATTTTGTGTTGAACTAAGCCAGTCTTTCCTATGTCAGCATCGTTTGATGAGAATACATCGGCGTACTTGAGTAACAACTTCTTCGCCATGACCAATTCGTTCGGAGAGAGAACACTGCGACAGTTTTCCAAAAGTGTGGTCACTCTCGTTTCTGAATCCTTGCTGGGGGTCCCACTCGATATATATTGGCACCGACGTAACCAATCCACTTCCTCACAAGTACCAACCAGTCTGCCTTTTTCTATAATCTGCTCCCGGTCACAAAGGTTCAGCACACGTACTCTTGGATGTCAGTGGTTCTGACCAGGGTTCGAGCTACTTTCCATGGAAGGTCATTGTTTACCCTTTCCACAAGTACACAACGGTGAGCTTGCCCAACGTTTCGGGGAAGACTAACCGGAACTATCGTTTCCGATCTCGGCGGAAGAACAATCTTCTTAATGCTGTACACGTTCCCTGGTAACGCACCTTCCATAAAAAGTTCCTCCTGTCCACATTTCAAAACACCTTGCTTAACGTCGATCTCACAATTATTCCTCATAAAGTCTAGGCCTAGGATGCAGTCGTCCATTATATCAGCCACGATGACATTATGCAGGTAGATCACGTTGCCTAGCTTCAACTCCATCTCCTTCTCTCCACGGACGGGTATACGCTGACCGGTGGCTGTTACCAAATTAATGCGTTCTCGGTTGTATGCGGAGTCCTCAAGGAACTGACTTATAAGTTGGGAACTAACAACCGTACGAGAGGCTCCAGTGTCTATGGTCAGTTTACACGGCATTCCGTTGACCTCGCCCTTGATGATTAGACTGTTCCCATCATGGGTTTGTGAGATCGAGATCCTTGGGGCTCTTTTAACATCAGCCAGCACCCGCCCCGCAGTTCTGGCTTTCACTTGTTTCCCTGCTGTTGCTGGGCGGTGCTGTTGGCCGCACTACCCTCCTGAGATCGTTCACCTTCCCTTTCTAGGGTTCGCTTAGGGCAGCTGGATCGAAGATGGCCCTTTTCCCCACAGCCATAGCACCTAGGCTGTATCCTTTGCTGCGGTCGCGTACTGTAGCTACAGTACCACAATACCACAATACCAGGGGAATTATAGATGCATTGCCAGCCTTCAAAAAAAGAAATTTTTTGAAAGTCCCAAGTTGTATCGGTCGGGAAACTTCTCTGGTGGTAGTATATTATTAACAAATTCTTAATTATATATATTCTATTACTATACCAGTAAGTTTGCTGGAATTTACTATAATAATAAGAAGTACGACATTAGGATGTCATATGCTGTGAATCTTTTCATAGACGAAACAAGTAAAAAGGCTATATATAAACATAAGCTTGTAATACTAGTTACTAGAATCCACTGAGTCAGTAGTGCTTTATAGGGCATTGTATTACACGCTTTTACAACAAAATTGCAGAAAATTTAAAAAATTTGTCAATTAACAACTTGAAATGTTTTATTAAAGGAAAAATGTACAAAAAGTGTTATAAATAGCTTTCATAAGAATAAAGATGTTCAAACTTTAAACACTAGGAACAAACATAAGCTTGTAATACTAGTTACTAGAATCCACTGAGTCAGTAGTGCTTTATAGGGCAATGTATTACACGCTTTTACAACAAAATTGCAGAAAATGTACGAAATTTGTCAATTAACAACTTGAAATGTTTTATTAAAGGAAAAATGTACAAAAAGTGTTATAAATAGCTTTCATAAGAATAAAGATGTTCAAACTTTAAACACTAGGAACAAACATAAGCTTGTAATACTAGTTACTTAAATCCACTGAGTCAATGGTGCTTTTATGGGGGCAATGTATTATACGATTTTACAACAAAATTGCAGAAAATGTACAAAATTTGTCAATTAACAAGTTGAAATGTTTTATTAAAGGAAAAATGTACAAAAAGTGTTATAAATAGCTTTCATAAGAATAAAGATGTTCAACCTTTAAACACTAGGAACAAACATAAGCTTGTAATACTAGTTACTAGAATCCACTGAGTCAGTAGTGCTTTATAGGGCAATGTATTATACGCTTTTACAACACAATTGAAGAAAATGTATAAAATTTGACAATTAACAACTTGAAATGTTTTATTAAAGCAAAATGTACAAAAAGTGTTATAAATAGCTTTTATAAGAATAAAGAAGTTCAAACTTTAAACACTAGGAACAAACATAAGCTTGTAATACTAGTTACTAGAATCCACTGAGTCAGTAGTGCTTTATGGGGCAATACGCTTTCACAACGAAATTTCAGAAAATGTTCAAAATTTGTCAATTAACAATTTGAAATGTTTTATTAAAGGAAAAATGTACAAAAAGTGTTACTATAATATCAAAGAATACATAAAATAACTCCTGGGTATGAGGTGATCGCAATCATGCTTGTATGTACTATTAAAATTTGTAAAAAAAATGATATTGTAAAGTGAAATATGTTAAAAAAAAGTCACGCTGGGTTTCTTGTTGGTTCTTCACTTCACCACATGATGGTAAAAAAACCCTTGAAACTAACTCAGCTATCCGCAACTAGATGGCTGGCGTTTTATTCAGCTGTTAAAACAAACATCAATCAGTGGCTTGAGCTAAAAACTCACTTTAATGTGGTGAAATCATCAGAAAGATGTTATACAGCAAGGGAGCTTGCTGCCATGTATAATGATGATACAAATTTATTATATTTGTTGTTTTTGTCTCCGATATTAAAAGAAGTTGCAATTGTGAATAATATATATATCAAGCAAGTGATGCAAATATCACAAAAATATATAGCGATCTTCGGATTCTTTTACTTTCCATTGCAAGACGTGTTTTCAAACCAATATTTCTGAGAAGTCAAAGTCTGTCTGAAAATGCCTCTGTATCAATGCTCCATGAGGCAGATATTGCAGCTGTTAGGCGAGCTTTAGAAAAATCCGGAGCTCCATTTGAAAATTCACTGCTTCCACTGGACTCAATCGATTTTGGAGAAAAGTTCAATGATTTACTTGCAAAAAAGACTCAGCCGACAAAGCCAAAGAAGTGAAGCAACGATGTTCTGCTTTTCTTGTACGCTTAGTAAGAGAGTTAGTTGACAGGTTACCGCTTAATGTGTCGGTGGTGGAAAAAATTGAACTTTTTGCACCAAGCCTCTCAACCGTCAAACCCAACATTAAAGATTTTCCCTGGCAGTTAGGTGATCAAAATATTGACCGAGAAGCTGTTATAACCCAATGGCGCGTATTAAGCACTATGCGCATTGAGGAGATAATCGATACAGCTGTTTCTCCTAATGACATTGTAAATTTTTGGATACAAGTGCTAAAAATGAAGAATGCTGGTGGAAGCCTGATGTTTAAAGAACTAGCAGAGTTTTCGATACGATGCCTTTCATTACCTTTGAGTAATGCCGTCGTTGAAAGAATTTTCAGCGTAATGGGGACAATCAAAACAAAATTGAGGAATCGTATGCAACTACCCATGCTGATCGGAATTCTTAGGATTTGTACCCATATGAATGTAAGAGGTTTGTGTTGTAACAACTTTCAACCAAGCAACCACATGGTGAGTTTGCACGCTGGCAGAAAAATGTATGTCTCGGTGGATTGAGTATGACATCAACTACTACTGAAGACGGCGAAAGTCTTGGTGATGCCTTATTATTGCTAGCAGAGGACGAATCAGAATAATCCTAATTTTTGTTTATTTGTTTATGTAGTTTTTAAAATGTTAACTTTAATTTCATTAACGTGTTTTAAAGATGGCTTATGCCTATTTATCAGTGTGTTATGAACATATTATAAATAAATTGATAAAAACTATATTTTATTTTATTCATATTGATGTTTTGGTGTTTGGGCTACTTTAGGCTACTACAACTGAAATTCGGCGATATTAGGCTACTTCATGCATTAGGGCCAGCGCTGTTGGCAACACTGGTAAACATTCGCAAACGAACATAAACAATTTGACAAGTGCCGGATCAACGTAAATTAACAACTTTTTAATGTAAACATTATATGCAAAAGACGACCGTATAGTATTTGATACGTAAGCGCCTTAGTGGTCATTTTTACGTGCATGAATATCTATAGCGAAAATCCGTACGAGTTGAGTGATACACTTCTCATTTGTTATCTCTTTCTGACTTGTATAGATTGTAATTATTTCGCACGCGCACTTAGCTTGCTACATATTTATTTATCTATGCTCGCCACTCTCTTGCTCGTGGCTCAGTCGCCTCGCGAGCGAGACGCGTCGCGCTAAATGAATGACACAGAGTAGATCAAAGTAATGTTCCAGATCCAGATCCAAATGATGCATTTGAAACGTTGTTACTGAACCAATATTTTGAATCTCTTCAGTGATTCGAATCAGTGAGTCAGTTCCGTAAAGAGTTACACACGTCTACTAGTCACCCACTCAGCCAGTATCAGATCCAGTTTGGATAGGTTTGGATCTTGGCTATGGATCTTGATAACTCCTCTAGTTCGAGTTAGTCTGTGATTATTCTAGCTTATCTATGGTCTGTGATAACTTGCTTGGGATTGGATTTATCTCGTTCTGAACTAGAATCTAGGCTATACGTGCTAGAAAAATATCAAGGTTGGATTGGAAGACATGATTAGCTTTCGAGATTTTATTGCTTAAAGAAGATGTTTGAACATTCAATCAAGGTACCCAGACAATACAAAATTGCAGCAAATATTGTAAAGAAAGTTTCAACTGAAGGCGGCAGCGTTAAAACTTTATTATACGATAACAAACTCCGTCACTTTGTAAGTATTAATTTTCTTTTAATATTACAAGTTAAAAATTGCTATTAATTGGCACATTAACTGTGTTTGCAGAGGACTAATGTGCTATTCGCACTAATAACAGAAACTATAAAACATACTGCACATATCGATAAAATTTTTGAAAGTTCTTGTCTTCTGACGAAGGAATCACGTTTAGACCCATGGCTGGCAAAAGTTTTGACAGCAGAACTACTGTTTGGCAAAAAGACTTTACCTGGAAAAAGTAAACCAGAACAAACAATACTATCTTACAAAGAGCACTTTGAAAAATTAACAGCCGAACATGAAGGTGACATGAAGATTGAAGGTAATTATTTTATTTCTTTTTTCAGGTCCGTTACTGCAAGTAAATAAAAGCATCAAAAATGGCCGATAACTCAGAGGGACCGCTTATACCAGCACATACAAAACGCGCTACTTTAGTTCTAGCAAATCTTTTTTTGTATAGTGTGGCTATGTTTACACTTCCCTTTATTGCATTTTTTGGTATCCGTCATGTTCTTACTGATGTGTATCCTGTAGATACCTTTACAAGAACTGTTTGGTCAGTAGCTGGGGCAGTCTTAGTTGTAAATGTTATTATATTTGTGTATGCTTACAAGGCATATCATGAGAAAGAATTTGATGACCATGGAAATGAAGTTGATCAGCATTCATACAAACATGTTACCTCTAATACAGAAACAGAGAAAAGTTCTTTAAATTTAAAACAGGATTGATACAAGAGCTTTATTAGTGGATTAAGACATTCCCAATAATTTACAGTATTATTTGACATATTTTCATCAATATAATTAATGTAGATTACAACAAACTGTAATGTTTAAAGTAGAAATAAAAATATTCATAAATTTAATTTTTTATTTTGTTTTAAGTTAGAAATCTATTGCTATCTCAATTATATATCTATTGATAAACAGTTGTTAGAAGATGATTTTGCTTGTTCTAATGATCATATAATATGTAGGACCAATCCATCCAGGATTGTTTTATACAATTTTAAAAACTTTTTTCTTAACATGTTCATCTGAGCAATGTCTTACAATGTCGTGTTGATTAAATTATATCTGTGGAATGTCTTTGGACGTCTATTTTATAGGCGAATTCCTATGGCGTATCAAAGTAGTGCCGCAACACATTTAATTTTCATAGTGTATACTGCCGTGTGATGTAAAAAAATCTTTATAGTTTTGTATGCATACATGCAAAGTTGTGCGCTACAGCACAAACAGTTAGAGATGAGGTTGCTCATGTGAACATGTTAAGTAATACAACAGTAAAACACTACTGAGAAATTGTCAAAAGTTCAAGACGATCTATATAATTCTAAAGTCTATTTAAATCCATGAAATCTTTATGGTACTTCTCATAGTCTCTTATGAAACCCATTAGTTAAAAAGAGATTAAAGGATTACCTGATGCAACTTCCACATGTACTTTTTTCAACTGTAATTCTTTAATCATTAAATATTCACAATAATCAGTTCTGTGTAACAGGATCAACACTTATAACAATAGTGAACATATCTGTAATAAATTATTTTCACAACTATTAAAATAACCTTAAATTTGAAACAGATATATTAATATAAATAATACTAATATAAAAAATTACATAAATACAAATTGAGCACAAAAAGTTGGGATTTTGATGATGAGAATGTTTTTTTATTCTTTCATTGCACCCAATTTACCAGCATTTGTCTTTTCAATTAATTAGAATGTTGCTGTATTTAAGGCAAAAGTCAATAGGTGTCTGCTAAACTAAGTCAGTATGCTTTACCATCTTCAGCTGCATCACTTTACCATCAGTAGTCACTAGTAAAACATTCAGGCTTAGAAAGATTAAAAAAATTATTAACACACCTATTAGTATTTAATTTATTAATATCCACTCTATATTTACATATTTTTTATTAATGTAACATTGCAATAATACAATGTAAAAAAATTAATATAAAAAAACTTAAATTATCATACAGTCCCAAAAGTAAGAAAGTATTTTGGTTATATTTAATGGTTAATTTCACCATGTAGTGGTGGTGTAAGAATAAACACTACCTCATAATATATTGTGGGTGTTGTAAGAGGCGACAGAGGAAAACTCTTCAGGAGATTGGCAGCATCATCTTCCTAATAACAACTAAAAAAAAAACTGCGGCTGCCAACCCACTTCTGAAACGTGGCACTGGCAACTATGAAATATCCCCCATATGAGGCAATATATGGAGAGACCTATGTTCAGTAGTGGACTTTAATAGGCTGTAATAGTAGCAGTAACATTAATGGTCAAGTATAATAAATTACTATTGTTACTTACAGCTTTTAAGTAAATTTTTCTTTTGAAATTTTTATAGATTTTTCATAGTAAATAACAAAAGTTACAATATTGTGGTCATAACACAAAACATTATGATAAAACATTTACTTTCTATAAAAAGTAAAAGCAATAAAACAATCAAACATTCTGAACCCTTAGGGGTAGAACTTTTTCTCCAAATTCATATTGCACCACCTGCTAAGTATAACCTATTTAATAATTATACAAACTTGTAATGGGCAAGGAACTGAATTTATCAGAACAATACAGTTCTTGTAAGTGTTAGAAAAGTGAACACATAATTTGCATTGCGTTTGGATATTTCATCAAGCAAGTAGTAAAATTAAACATTAAAGAAAAATCTATACAAATTTTGTGTAAAATGTAATAATTATATTTTCTGTGTGGAAAATGATGGGATAATTTGTTAATGGCAGGGTAAACTACCCAATTGAGTAGGTACGTAGCTCATACCAATAGTTTGCTAATCCTCTCAAATATGAGAGATCTGTGCCCATCTGTGGGACTGGTATATAGATTGTAACTTCACTTTACAGTTGTTCGCAGACCCCGCTACGTACGTATAAACACAAACCTCTTAACCACATCAGACGCAATACGAGCCTTCCAAGATGAAGGATACCACTTTATAAGGTGCACATCGGGATCATACACTGACTACCTCAGTCAAATTCAGAGCCTCACCGATAACGATTTTACACAGGATTACCATGTCAAAACTGTGTTCGTTTTCGCCCCTGCGACGAAATTACATGAACATGAGCTGTATTTGGAAAATAAGATTATTTTACAGGATAAGGTATGTCAGTGAACATCGATATTTTAAACTCTTTTAACCTTCGCCCAATGCTTAGCCTCTGCGCTACCTTCTTCTTCTTTCTTTTGTGGCGGTTTGATAAAATTCGCCAATGACGTATTGAGTGGAAAACGAATGCTTATGAGTTTAATTAAAATAAGAGTGTGATAATACAAGGTTTCAGTTTTCCTCTGAGAATTTTCAAATCTATTACAATACAAATCTATTGTGTTGAATTACCTAGAACAAATATGACCTAGTCGCCGTAATTATAATGTGATATATTTATAGTACAGATTAGTAAGCTGTAGTGACAATGGGTCAGCTGCGGCCATATAGCTCGAAGAACCGACAACTGATGGCGAAGAAAGGTTCTCGAGTGGTAGTCTCGTACTGGTATGCGAAGTGTAGGGTGGCCCGTCACTAGGTAGAGTGACGATCTGATAAGATATGCAGAAAGTCGATGGTTGCAGGTGGCTCAGAACCGTGCTTTGTGGCATTTCGTTGGAGAGACCTATGTTCAGCAGTAGATCTGGGAAGGACTGTAATGATAATGATAGTGATGATGATCTTTATAGTTGGTTTGTGGTAAATTTATGCTTCACAGTACACAAGGGACACAAGGGGCTTCGATGCTCACGGCACCTTCGGAATTATTAATTGCAATTTTAAGTGTTGATTTACCACATGCTCAGCGGTGAAGAACATTATCGTAAAGACACCTGCATTTTTGAGGAATAAAAATATATGTAATACATGTAAAGTCAGACAACGCTCACTGAAGCAGCTTAGCGGATCAATTGCCACATAACTCTCACAGAATTGAGAGATAGTCAGTGCTCAGTTGAGGGATGTGTGACTTTTACTGTAATTATATTTAATATATGTATTCTCAAAGAATATTTGAATTATACTTCTATGCTGTGTAATGCTAATACTGTTAATGCTTGCTGTAAATATAATGGAACGCGAGTAACCCGGGTTCGATCCCCGCCGGCACCAATGAAATTGTTAATTGCAATTTTAAGTGCTGATTTACCAAGGCGGTGAAGGAAAACATCGTGAGGAAACCTACATGTCTGAGAAATAAGAAAAAAAAATTATATCGAAGACATGTGATGTTCGCCAACACGAATTGGCGCAGCGCGGCGGACACTTCCTTGCTCTAAAACCCTCTCAGAAATGAGGGAAGGCATGTGCCCAGCTGTGGGACGTATGTAGGCTGTAATTTTAACCGTGTAATGCTCCATATTGTACCGTGGGTGCTGCGAGGGTTGACAGAGGGAAATTGAAATAGGTGGGTGGTGAAATAGATAGCAGCATCTTCTTCATGATAACTGAAAATAATATGAACTGCGGTTTCCAACCCTTCCAGCCAAGCATGGCGACTATGGCAAAATCTTTGTTTAAATCTAAAGGGGAGGCCTATGTTCAGCAGTGGACTTTTATATGCTGTAATGGATAATGGATTTTAAATATTCTCAAAGAACTTAAGTAGAAGTTAGTTATCCTGTTTTGTTTTGCACGGAACTATCTTTTACTATTCGCGAATTGTATTCAGGCAACAGCAATGGCGGTTCATTTGTTGGCGCCACCGCCTGGCAGCACGGTACTGGATATGTGCGCAGCACCAGGCATGAAGACAACGCAACTTGCTGCTTATATGAGAAATGAGGTATAACTGACCACTTACGATAGAGTTGTTATAAACTGAGAAATCAAATCATAAGTCTTAATAACAGTAGTGTTGTGCAAAGGCAAATATAGAAGATATATGATCCAGTGGCGTAGCGTGCCTTCAACGGGCCCTGTATCAAATTTTGTGGGGTCCAAATGAAAGGCCGCTTGCATTGATTTATAAAAAATTATATATTGATTATAAGTTAATAATTACTATTAATAATACTGCTAGGAACTAAGCTAGCTAAACAATTCAAATCGAATATACAATTTTCATGTCTTGTTCGGCGAATTTAATAGGTCGGGGAAAAAGTTTCTTTGTATTTTATATACATGTGTACATTTAATTATAACACATATATATATATATATATATATATATATATATATATATATATATATATATATATATTGTGCCATTTCGTTCGATAACTCGTTGCCATCTTGTGAATAGATGACATAATCTGTTGCTGTAGAAATTTTGGGATTTTTTGTCCAAAAAATGCGACAAGTAGTTTTGATAGTCCTCTCCTGGTGTTAACCTAACACTACCCAAAGAATTCTGAAGAGACCGATACAGGTAAATCTGAGGTTGCAAGGTTAGTACTATATGGTGAATTTATTAACACTTTCCAACCAAGCCCTCTCAATTTTTGCTGAGTGGCTAAACATCTGTGTGGTCTGGCGGTATCATGAAAGACCACTCCTTTTCTGTGATAAATTCCGCGCGTTTTTTCAATTTCTTGCTTGATACTCAATAGTTGTTGGTAGTAGAGATCCGAATCAGTGTTTATGCCCAGCTGTAAAACTCATAATAAACGATGTCCTTCTAATCCCACCATGCACACAGCATCACATTACTGTGTATTAACCCGGGTTTCGCTACATTCTGTGCACTTGACAACCCTTTTATCTTTTTCGCACGATCTTGTCGTAGGTGATCCACTCTCATCACCAATGATTAATATTTGCAAAAATGGTTCAGTTTTATTACCTTTCAATAGAGAATCGCAAATGAGTACACGATTCCTTAGATTTCTTTCAGTGAGCTCGTGTGGTACCTAAATATCGAGCTTTTTTGTATAGCCAGACTTTTTCAAATGTCTCAAAACCGTTTTATGGTCAATCTGAAGTTCTTCGGCTATGTTGTAAAGAACTACTAATACGTTTAATAACTACTAATATTCTTGCTCCACTCTTTCAAAAATGGCATCGACTTTATTCGTATGAAGGTGACCAGAGCAAGCTGCATCTTTGACATCGAAATTCCCTGAATGAAAACGCTTTAACCAACTTTGTGCTACTCTTACTGACACTGCATTAGGTCCATAAGCGTTACAAGGTTTTTTCGCGGCTTGAGTCGCATTTTTAACTTTTTTGTAATAAAACTTCGGAATGTATCGAATTTCTTCCTTAGATTCACTCACAGAAATCTAAATAATAGTGCCTTATTATTTAGATTTCTGTGGATTCACTAATTTTGGCAGAGAGAAAAACAATTGAAAAATGGCGGGAAAGTATATTTTACTCTTTCTTTTTCTTTTTCTTAATGCCCTATATGTTTTGATATTAAAACCAGTCAGATACAAATAGTACAACCACAGAGGTTTTTCTTCAATTTTATACAAACAAAATACGAAGAAAATTTTTCCCCGACCTATTATAATATATTAGATGAACACGCGTTTCCGAGTATCCAGTTATTACGAAACAATTTACAATTTATTGCGTGTGCCACACGATCAACAAAATCGGCATTTGAGGCATGCTCTTTTATAAGGGTTTGTAATCATCCATTTACAACCGACATGACTTTTGTTCCATCGTACATTCGTTAGGTATGGTCGTTTGGTAACATTGAACATTTGGACAAATCAATTCCATAATCTTCGTTGGTATTTAAAATAAAAGTTTTAAGTCCTGCACTACAATCGGATACAGCTATAATCCCCTAAAAGAACTCGAAGATTTTTATTCCTTTACTAAATTTAATCCTTAAATACATATACATTATCATAATTTTCTGTTATCGAGATGTATTAAAAAACTGCAGAAAATTGGTCAATTTTTGACAGGTCTTATTTAGGCACGTTGGGAGCTATTTGATGATATGATTTTTTTCTCGGGAAGTGCGGCCTAAGATTTTAAGTGAGATTGTGGATAACATTTTACGAATTTTTGCTTACACACGTTCGGGGCCCCTGTAGCCTGCGGGCCCCGTATCATTGATACGGCTGATACGGCGGTGGTTACGCCTCTGATATGATCACTACGTTTTTTTGACTACTATCCCACCTGATGGTTATTGGTGATGTAGTTGAAGATAGTAAAGTAGATTAATTTAGTTTAACAAAATATATAGCATATTCACTCATGCCCTAAATACATAATACATACATAAACACTCACGCCTGTCACCCAGAGGGGTAGGCAGCGACTACAGACTTCCATTTGGCACGATCCTGACACACCTCTCTCGCCTCCTTCACATCCATACACCTACGCATACATGGTCGTCGGTTAAGGGTTCTCCTAATTTGGCCCGTTTTCAATAAATCGCCAATTTGGTCGATAAATTTTCGCCTAGGACTTATTACACAATTTCTTACCCTGTCGTTCAGATTCAGCCCTAACATACTCCTTAACGACCGCATTTCTACTGCGTTGATTCTACTCTCGTGCTTCTTCTGCCACACCCAACTTTCACTACCATACGTTAAAGTAGGGACCAACACAGCATTGTGAATTGCCATACGTGCCTTTTTTGACGCATTTTGACTCTTCACAATAGAGTGCAGGGCCCCATTTACTCTATTTCCCGCATTCACTCGTCGTTCTATATCCTTATAATATCTCCCATCCCTGCTAAATACGCAGCCCAAATATACAAACTCATCTACTTGCTCGATCAACTCCCCTTCTATTCTTATTTCACAAATCGTTTTACTTTCTTCTCTTTCAAAAACCATAACCTTCGTCTTACTTGCGTTCACTTTCATACCCCTTTCTTTTAATGATCTGTTCATTAATGTAACCATCATTTGCAACTCGGCCGCCGACGACGCAAGGATAACTTGATCATCGGCGTACAAAAGGCATTTGACGGTTAACTCACCCATTCTTAATCCGCATTCTTCAACTTTCAAATTTTGCAAACAACTGTCCATAAATAGGTTGAACAGCCACGGGGAAGCCACACAGCCCTGTCTGACACCTTTATGGATGTCAAACCAGTCCGAGTAGACCCCGTTGATCCCAACACAAGCACTAGAGTCCCTAAAAGAGACTCCAATGCCTGTATCAAGCCAGCGCTCAACCCAAATGAGTTCAGTGTTTGCCATGGCACATCCCTATCCACTCTGTCATAGGCCTTTTCCAAGTCCATGAACGCACAAAAAACCTTTTGATTTTTGGCCAAAAACTCCTTCAGCGATCATGCGCATGGAAAAGACTTGATCTGTACATCCCATTCCCTTTTTAAATCCCGCTTGCACATCCAAAATTTTTCCATCAGTTTCTTTCTTCTTTCTTTCATCAGTCCCTTTCAATCAGTACCTTAGCATACAGTTTTCCCACAATACTAAGAAGGCTGATGCCACGGTAATTTTTACAGTCCTGCTGCGACCCTTTTCCCTTATATACTGGGACTATCACGGCTTTGCACCAGTCTATCGGTACCCGCTTCAGTTCCCAGCATAAATTAAACAAGGTGTGCAGCAGGCCTGCCACGACATCCTCTCCAGCCCTTAGCATTTCGAGTGAAACTCTATTATATCCGGCAGCCTTACCTGCTTTCATGCTTTTCATTGCTTTCATTATTTCATCTATACTTATCTCGCTACCTCTTTCCTCTTCTTTCGGAGTTTCCACTTCACTTAGTACACACGTTGTCTCCTCACTGATAAACACGCTTTCAAAATATTCCTTCCATCTCTTTAAACTCAAAACTTCATCATTCAGAATATAGCCATTTTCGTCTCTTATAGCATTCATCATAGGCTGTTTTGAATGTCCCCAATTTCTTACAAGTTTCCAGAACATTTTAATATTTGCCTGGAAGTTATCCGATATTATTCTATCATTCTTATCCGTTCTTTCTTGCTTTTTTCTTTCAACTACTTCTTTTACTCTCTTATTAAGATGTCTAAAGACTGCCTTTTTTCTTTCAATATCATCATTCGTACCGCTAGAATTACCAGCCTTTGTTGCTAGTAAATCTAGCCATGCTCTCTTCTTTGCTTCAACTTCCATACGTATCTCATCATCCCACCATAACGTATTATTTTTCCTTTCATTCTTTCTCTTACTAACACCACATACTTCGGTAGCTGCATCCACTAAACCTTTCTTTACGTTTTGCCATACATTCTCCAAGTCTAACTGCTTTATACATAATTCATCCAAACCACTTATATTTTCTTTCAGTCTACATTTGAACTTGTTTTTCTCACCTTCATCTTGTAACCTTTCTGTTCTAATACGCTGTAACGCAGTGGTAGACACAGATGATCGATGGCGCCAACGCCTGAATAGACCATTAATTCGGCATAAAACCAAATAATGATCCGTTCCTACGTTAGAACCACCGGTAAACCCTTGTATCTACCACTGCGCCCCTCAATCTTTCATCCACAATTATGAAATCTATCATGCTTCTATCGTCACCTCTTTCCCAAGTATACATGTGAATCCTCTTGTGGCGAAAGCAAGTGTTCGTCACAAAAAGATTCTTTTCCATACATACGGTGAGGAGACTTTCACCATTCTCATTTATACTTTAATCACCAAACGTTCCCAATATCCTTTCATAACGAAGCCTTCCTCACCCCAACCCTTCCATTAAAATCTCCTAGCATAATAATATTTTCATTTCCCCTACACTTCATTAACACCATCCTTACCATTTCCCAAAACTGCTCTCGGATGTAAGTGGGCTTAGACATGTCTGGGGCGTACACCCCTAGCACGAACAGCTTCTTTAAGCCCACTTTCATTCGTATCCATAGCAGTCTTGGGCTTACACATTCATACTCTTTCACACATTGGCCCATACTTTCTGAAACGATGATACCTTCTCCCTGGCATGCCCCCTATCTCGTCTACACCGGACCAGTATGCGGTATACATGCCATGTGTAGTGACATCCTTCCCCTTCCGTTTCGTCTCATTTACACATAACACATCTATTCCTCTATCATACATCATATCGCATACTTCATCCATTTTATCATTCATTGCCCCACATACATTCAACGTAGCCAGACGGGCGTGCCGGAACGTGACGGGTGGCGAACCTCGTCGCCGGTTTTCCTCCCGGAGATTCTTCGCACCCCTGCCCCATTAAAGGGGCGCCGGGAACTCGGGGCCATTTCTTTTATATGGTTCCTCATGGTGCGAAATATGGGTAGTATATTTTACGCCGCTACCACGGCGTGGAGCCGAGTCTGTGGTATCGGCTTGTCGCTCATTTAGCACCACCCGGGGGACACGTGTAGGGTGGGCCTAGGAATAGGTGGTCAAAGCCTACGGACGCGAGCGACTTATCCCCCAAATAAATACATTGCTATTTTACTATTACAATGCCTTTTATGTGGTAGAACCACGCCAGCACGAATGGGTTGACTCGACTAGGGCTGGACCGTACTCTCACATTATAACAGGCGTGAAACAGTACAATAATGCTACCATGTTTCATATGGACCGTGCGGAGTTCCACCCAAATTACCTCACTGGGGGAGCTCTATGTCGCAAGTTCGAATCACAAATAAGGAGGTTGTTAAAACCTTGCGGTGTCTAGACGTAAATAAAGCTAGTGGATATGATGGTATACCAGCTATAGTTCTATGCGCTTGTGCACCTGAGTTGTCTTCTGCTCCTGTGCTGACACAATTGTTCCGGCTCATTAGGGCTGGAATAGTGCCAAAATCCTGGAAGCTGACCAACGTGCGGCCTGTTTCAAAAAAAGGCAGCCGTGCCGAGCCTGCCAATTGTCGGCCAATCTCAATTATATCCATACTCAGCAAGATTATGGAGCTTAGTGACATACCAAGAACAGAATGACCTTAGTGACCGGCAATACGGGTTTCAACGAAATTGGTCAGCTGGGGGGACATTTTAGCGTATGCCACACTCGTATGGGGCGAAGCACTCGAGAACAGTGGGGAAGCATTTGTTGTTTCCCTTATGTTTGTGTGTGATTTTCCGATACAGTAGTAATAAATTGATTTTCAATTATTTTTTATAATGTATGCTGGATAAAAATAGTTTTATAATCCAACTTTACAGGGTAAAATCTACGCCGTGGAGAGAAATGAGGAACGTTATCAGACATTGTGTGACTTCGTAGAGAGAACCGGCTCAAAGTGCGTGGAGACATTGCACAAGGATTCTTTAGATATAAAAAGAGGAGACTACGATGATGTGGAGTATATCCTTCTGGACCCTAGTTGTTCTGGGTCAGGTATGATGAATATTTTCTTCTTCACAACATTCGATAGTCAAGGAAAACATCGTGAAGAAACCTGCACCTCTGAGAAATGATAATATTTCAGACATGTTAAGTCCGCCAACATTAATTGGAGCAACACAGCGGACTTTTTGCTTCATATTCCTTTCACAAATGAGAGGAGCAATGGGACATACATATATAAGTGTTAATTTAATATTCGATTACAATGCCATTTCCACACAGTCGTAAGCTATCAACTTCATAGGAGATTTATATTGTTAGAAGTTAACGGGCACACAAAGCCTTACATTTTTTACTTACATTTTGAAATCTACCCGCCACCGCTGTAACTTATGCTATAAGATGAAAGAATGGCTACGATTTGGGATTCCATGGCCAAAGATACAAGGATAATCAACATATACAAGACAGACATACCTGAAAACAATAGTTTGTGATTTTCTATACAGTCCGCGACGTAAGTAACCACACTACTACCTAATAATCAGACTAGACTTGGTTGTCGCATTACATACAATTTAATATTTTTTTTATGGAATGAGGGTCATGCCAACCGACAAACGACCTCACAGTAAACCTGATAGTTAGTCTATCCTCGATTACGAATTAAAGCTGAAAAGATGGAATGCCGCATTTGTAGTAAAAAGTTGTCTCCAGTTTTCTACACTCACCATACGAATCACAGCAGCGTTTAGATGCTATTTTACGCTAGTATACTGTGAGGGCGTGGTCCTACCCCGGTTAAACCTACCATTCGTACTACAGCTATAACTAGCCGCAGCATGGCTCTACCATGTATAAATGCTATACAGTTGTATGTTTAATTTAGATTTAAAAATTTTTTGAGCATTGAATTGAAACCATGAAGTAGAGTCACACTAAAACTTTCAATGTACTAAAAGACGATATTTTACGGAAACATAACAAAGAATTTAACGATTATACAGCTACGCGACAGGTGTATCATAACTGCAGCACAATAGGTCGGCTTGACCGGGGTAAATGCTGCTGTCACTGATTATCGCATTTATAACTACTATGACAGTAATGAGGCATTTCATTTTAGTCTTCGGGGATAAAAATGTGTAATTACGATTTTTAGTTAAGAATCTACAGCATCTACTTATCATAAAATTAATTTTTTACCCTTGTATAAAAATAAACTAAAATTATAATTAGGCATTTTATTTACAGGAATGGAGCTTAGTGTACACAACTATATTGAGGATATTCGATTAGCCAAGCTAACATCACTCCAAGAAAAATTTCTCAAACACGCCATGAATTCCTTTCCTAAAGCAAAGAGAATAGTTTACAGTACTTGCTCTTTATTTCCGGAGGAGAATGAAAGAGTCATCACAAACATAGTGAAAACCTCAAGAGCCAAATGGAGAGTACAAGACGTAAAAGAATTGTTAAAAGGGCAATGGAATAACTTTGGGTCGGGAATGTATGGTAGCATAGGTACAAGATGTATATATGCCAAACCTGATTCCGATTTTACAACTGGATTCTTTTTGGCTGTACTGGATCGAGACCAGAAAGATTTGGAAAAGAAAAAAAAAGATGAAAATAATGCAATAAATGGTGAAGAAAAGTTTACGAAAAATGTAACTAATGGAAAATATATATCCAATGATAGTAATGATGATGTAAAAACCAAAAAAATTAAATTTTATGAGCAAACAGTTTTACACAATCAAACTGAAGACGAAAATTCAACTACACTGAGATATAAAAAGAAGAAAAAGAAAGCAGACGATAATTCGAGAGATGGAAAATACAATAACGGAAGCTTTAAAACAAATGTCGAAGATATAGCTGGTAAAGAAATAATCGATGTAAATAAAAGTAATGCTAAAAAGTCGAAAAAAATACAGCAGTGTGAAATCTCAGAAAGCTTAAAGTCTGAAGAGACTCAAAACTCAACTATAGTTGTTGATGAATCGGTTATTTTGGATGCAGAAACAAGTAATAGACAGAAACGGAAGAAAAACAAATTAAAAGTAGCAGATGAAAATTGTTTTTTTGATATAAACTCCGACATCTATGTCGATAATAAAGCAAGTGAAGAAATAAATGACGAAAATAAAAGTAATGGTAAAAAGTCGAGAAAAATAAAGCACTTTAAAATCTCAGAAAACTTTGAACCTGAAGAGACTCAAAACTCGACCATGGATGTTGAAGAATCAATCAATTTGGACGCAAAAACAAGTAATAGAAAGAAAAAGAAGAAAAATAAATCGAAAGCAGCGGACGATAATTACTTTGATAGTAGAAACTCCGACATGCATGTCGAAAATAAAGCAAGTGAAGAAATAAATGACGAAAATGAAAGTAAAGCTAAGAAATCGAAAAAAATAAAGCATTGTGATATATCAGGAGACTTAAAACCTGAAGAGATTCAAAACTCAACTGTTAATGTTGAGGAATCAGTTATTATGGACTTAGAAACAAATGATAGAAAGAAAAAGAAGAAAAGGAAATCGAAAGCAGTAGACGATAATGTTGAAAATAGAAGCAATGAAGAAATAATTGATGAAAATAAAAATAATACCAAAAAATCGAAAAAACCTGATGAGACAAAAAACACAACTATTAACGTAGATGAATTAGTTAATGTGGACACAGACGCGATTAATAAAAAGAAAAAAAGAAAAAAGGTGAAAGAAAAGATGGGGAAAATTTAGATACGCCAACCGAAATAGATGATAATAAAAAAAGTGGTTAGTAAAAAAAATGGTTTTGAAGATCCAATAGAATTGTTGATTAAACGATAATTTCTATTGATAACACTTAAGTCAAATTTCAAAAGCAAAAAATAGAAAATGGAACTTCATCATCATCATCATCATTATAGCCCTTCACAAGTCCACTGCTGAACATAGGCCTCTCCCAAGTAATGCCACAAAGCACGGTCCTGAGCCATCTGCATCCATCGACTTCCTGCATGTCTTACCAAGTCGTCACTCCATCTAGTGGGGGGTCGCCCTACACTACGCCTACCGGTACGAGGCTGCCACTCGAGAACCTTTCTTCCCCATCGGTTATCGGTTTTTCGAGCTATATGGCTAGCCCATTGCCACTTCAGCTTAATAATCCGTTGGGCTATGTCGGGCACTCTGGTTATACTGCGGATGTCCTCATTTCTGAGTCTATCACGCAGAGAAACTCCGAGCATAGCCCTCTCCATAGCTCGTTGAGCGATCTTGAGCGTCCTCATACGGCCAGCAGTGAAGGACCACGTCTATCCGTAAGTCATCACTGGCAACACGCACCGGTTGTACACTTTAGTTTTCAGAGATTGAGGTATACCTGACGAGAAGATGTGTCGTAATTTCCCGAACGCTGCCCAGCCGAGTTGAATCCGTCGATTGACCTCTCGGTCGAAGTTGGACTTACCTAGTCGGACTATTTGTCCCAGGTAAACGTACTCGTCAACAACTTCGAGCATAGTGCTCCCAACAACTACCGGCATAGGTGTGACATGGACATTAAACATGATCTTTGTTTTGTCCATGTTCATCTTAAGACCTATCCGTTGGGAGACACCATTGAGGTTATTGAGCACAGTGCTAAGGTCCTCCAGTTATTCTGCCATAAGGACTATATCGTCGGCAAATCGAAGGTGAGTGATGTACTCGCCATTGATGTTAATACCGTATCCTTTCCAGTCCAGTAGCTTGAAAACGTCTTCCAACGCAGCGGTGAAGAGTTTCGGGGATATAATGTCACCCTGTCTTACACCTCTCTGCAGTTGGATAGGTTTCGAACTCTGGTTCTGTACTCGGAAAGCCATCGTAGCCCTACTGTACAAACACTTCAGCACTTCGATATACCGACAGTCAACTTGGCACCGCTGAAGGGACTGTAGCACCGCCCAAATTTCGACGGAATCAAAGGCTTTCTCATAGTCCACATACGCCAGGCAAAGTGGCAGATTGTACTCTTCGGTCTTCTGTACAATCTGCCGCAGGATATCTATGTGGTCTATGGTACTGAAGCCTTTTCGGAAACCGGCTTGTTCGGTAGGCTGGAAGTCGCCGAGTCTGCGTGCGAGACGATTCGTAAGGACTCTCGAAAACAGCACGTAGACGCGGCTCAGAAGGGAAATCGGTCTGTAGTTCTTCAAGAGAGCGTTGTCGCCTTTCTTAAAGAACAAGACCACCGCACTTCTGCTCCACGCCTCCGGAGTAGTGCCACCATAGAGGACGGAATTAAAGAGACTGAAGGACTACAAGTACCGGTTTTCCACCCGCTTTCAGAAGCTCCGCTGTAATTCCATCCTCGCCCGGGGACTTGCCGTTTTTAAGGTGCTGGAGAGCCATTCTAATCTCGCTCAGACTGACGTCCGGGATATCATCGGAAAAGTGTCGGATAAGACCCGCTCTTGGATCGTTATTCACACTTGCGTATGGCTCCAACGATGATGTGTACAGCTGCCCATAGAACCTCTCAATCTCACTCAAAATCTCAGGTGTCCCGGAAACGATGCTGCCACGCTCAGTCTTCAGCTTTGACAGTTGGCTCTTACTGGCAGACAGATCTCTGGCAAAGACTTTGGAGCCCTGGTTCCGCTCAATCGCTTCTTCAATACGAGCAGTATTAAGTTTGCGTAAATTTCGCCGCATGCATTTGGGGATCTGTCTGTTCAGTTGCCTGTATACTGTCAAATCTGTTGACGATTGCAGCCTCATCTCCCGTCTAACAGCCATGAGATTAAGAGTGTGATCGGAGAGCTTTTGTGTTCTTCTGCGGCCGGTCTTGCAGAACTTAGCTCCGACGCATGGACAGTTTCCACGAGCTTGTCATTCATATCGTCCACTGCATTGCAATCTTCTAGGCACTGAAAGCGGTTACGTAACTCGAGCTGAAACGTTTCGGGATTCTGGATTAGAGCACGAGGGGGACGGAGCGTTGACTTCATTAGACGAGACCTCTCCAACTTAACGTTTAGGTTCAGTGTGCCTCTAACCATTCGGTGTTCGCTGCCGGTTTTCACCCTTGCGATCAATGAGAAATCACTGAACAGTTGGCGTCTGGTCGTCATAATGAAGTCAATCTCATTTTTTGTCGAACCGTCGGGGCTCGACCAGGTCCATTTACTGTGGGGCCGCTTCTGGAAGAAAGAGTTCATCATAAAGAGTCCCTCTTTCTCCATAAAGTCAGCCAGCTGCTGGCCCCAACGGTTCCGTTGCCCTACTCCAAATTTCCCTAACTTCAGCTCACCGCCTTCTCTTGTTTTGCGTTGAAGTCTCCCATCAACACCGTGTAGTGGGTTTTGGAGGAATGCATGGCTCTAGAAATATCCTCATACATTTCCTCCACCTCGTCATCGGGATGTGCCGAGGTTGGTGCGTAGACCTGTATGACCTTCAGCAAATACCGTTTGGTGATTCTGAGTATCAGGTGCGCGACCCTCGTCGACACACTCCCAATCTTTACAATGTTGTTGATGAGAGACTTGTGGATGATAAATCCAACACCTCCTTGGGACAGATGGTCGCCCTCCCGGTGATAGAACAAGTTGCCGGACTCGAGGATTACCGTGTCTTCCCCCTCTCTTCGGACTTCAGATAATCCAATAATATGCCAACGCAACTTGTCTATCTCTTCTTCCAGCTCCAGTATCTTCTCGTCAGTCCTCAGGGTGCGTACGTTATACGTTGCCAGGTCGAGTCGTCGTAGGTGGCAACCGAACCTCCACCGGAGATTCTTAACAACCCCTGCCCCGCCGATACAATGGTCGCCACCGTAGCCAGAAATAGCGGGGCCGCCGGGGACTGGGGGCCGTTTGTTTGTCGTTCCTCATGGGGGGATATTTGCCATAGTTGCCACGCTTGGCGAGCGGGTTGGCAACCGCAGTTTTTTATTATGTTATTGTTGTTATTAGGAAGATGCTGCTGCCCATCTCCTGCCTGTCTCCCTCTGTCGCCTCTTACGACACCGACGGTAAGATATGGGGTAGTGGATATTCTCAACCGCCACTACACGGCAAAAAAAAGGAACTTGAAATCTGATAAATGAAATAAATGATATTAATGAAACTGACCAGAACTATAAAACGAATCAGAGAAAATGAACCAACAAGAGAAGTGAATTGAGTCTTGAATGTTATTTGAAATTTAATTTTTTATTATTAAAAGAATTTAATAACTACAGCTTTTTATTTTTCTCTATTTTAAACCCAAACAAGTGGTTGACTATTTGTTTGTAAAAATAACTAAACTATAATTGCGTTTTTATCACTGACCTCTATATATACAAGTACGCTGGACTGGCTATACTATATAAAATGACTGTGCCAATTTGAAGCGCCGCTAAAGGATGTCTTGAAAAATAAAATTGACATAATATGCCAAAGTATGTTGTCTTATTCATATTGTCATATATAATAAGTCTATATTTTGAACTTTTAAACTAAAAAACGAAAGTATTTTATGTTGTTTGATTGTGTATAATATTAGTTACATAATAAGAATTATTTTTATTAATAATGAGAGGGTGCGTAATCTGTAAAACTCGTTACCAAAAGGGAAGTGGTATAACATTTCACAAGTAAGTGAATTTGCAGTAAATATTAGACAAATTTAAACTATTTGATAATATAAGTACTTAGAAATTTGTTACTAATCTTAATATCATATATACCAACATGTTTGGATGTTTATTACGGAGTTTTGATAAACAATAAAATTCAATAGGGTTGTCGAGTTCTTTGTCTACAATACTTATCGATGTTCTTTCCTGCTATTTCTGTTAACAAATAAGTCACCAACAACAGATGATTATCAAATGTTTATTAATTGACAGGTTTCCAACTGGCTTAAAATCATAAATATTGTGAATTGGCGTTCGAAACAAAATGATCATATTTGTTCCAAACATTTCACAGACGACTGTTTTATTAGACATGAGAACTACACCACTTTGAAAAAGTGCAGTATACCGACAATATTTTATGGTAGTACCAGCACCAAGCACTACCAACTACTAAGTATTAGATTATTATTTCGAATGTTTTTTTTTAATATCTTCTTTCCTCATTTTCCACTAAACTCAAGGGCCATAGCCAAGTGTCGAAAGGTCGCCTGATGATGTCGAGCCACGTTGGATGTGTGTTAGTGGGCTGCGGCTAGAGGAGATTCCTCTCCCTGTACCGCTGTAGTCGAGGTGGAGTCGTAGGGGAAGAGGAGAGTTGGTATGGCGATTGGCGATGCGCCACTCGACTGTTTTTCGCGACTTTGGTGAGGCTGCACCACTTGATGCTTCCAAGTGCTCGTTTCTCCCTGGCTCCATTCACATATCGGGCTCGGTAATTGATAATTTCAGTTATTTTTTTTAATATTGTAATTTTAATTTTGAGAATGATGTTGTAAATAACTGATAACTATGTAATTCAAAGTTACAATTTTTTTATATTATCTTGCTAGCTCATACCCGGCGCATTGCGGCCACAGAAGAAATAATTGTGGAAATATCGTTAAAAATGTGGAACAGTTACATTGTATAATTAGGAATGCTAATACAATCATTGAAATAGAATAATATATAACTTTCCATAACTTTCAAATAAATAGTCAGGATAATAGGCACGCCACCTAGTGTCAGTTAATTGTACCATGCGTATAACCTTCGCACAAGTGCAATAATCAATAAGTTGACTAAGTTTTACCGCAATCTGATGAAC